ATGATAAATTGCATCGATCTAGATTAAGTGATTGAACGATAGGCTAACTGTTTAGCCTTGAGACTAGAAATGCGTCAGTCCGAATTGAGAGTAACTTCCTTGAGTGGAGAGACGAAAACTATTCTGTCACCTGATTGATTGACAAGCGAGAGAGGGTGAGAGTGAAAGAGAACACGATTGAACTGAAACACTACTCGATCTCCTTTTCAGTAACATTCGAGTAAGAAGAATATCAAACATTTGTTTTAAAAACTCCATCAATCTCAATATTATCCTACTGGACATTCAATAGAATGACATAAATCTCATCACTATTGACAAACATGATATAGGATATGGTGCAGTAATCACACATACCTGATAGATGAGTAATCCCAGTACTTTTATGTAGAGAAGTCTCACTGAATTTTGCATCATACTAGATTTATGATGGAATAAATTGAAATCGTTTACACTGTTAGAGTGGTATGTAACACTGGTCGCTTAAATCCATTTCAGCAGTATAATGTGTGTATTGATTTTCAACAAACATTGATACACAGAGCAACAGTTTGAGACTCTGGTTATTTTGTTGAAAACATATTGGTTGTGAGTTGAAAAGGCCTGAGCCGATCTGAAATATGAAGTAAATTTGCAAAATGTACATTTAAGTTATGCTATATGAAAGCAACCGGCCTGATCTTAATTTGCTTATAATGCGTGCGTCGGTTCAAGTTGTCATACTTCATATTAGCAATTTTTGTGGCTGCCTAATAGTTGGCGGCATATCAGTAAAACATAGGTGATGGTTTGATGAGTACGTGATTTCTATAGTATCGATTAACACATAGTTGGTCAGTCAGTCAGTCAGCTACAACGTACGACTAGGCACATATATGCATCGGTCCAAGTTGCCATACCGCATTAGCACAGCAAGATGAACACCGGATTCATAGAATTAGTTAATTCAATGGTGGTGATATATAAAAGAAAGATTGCGTATAAGGATATAGTACAGGAAGAAAGAATTAGTACTCAGAAAGATATGAAGAGATTTTAATATCATAGTTTAAGGGAAGACGGAGAGTGTATACACCTACGCTGGATAGCAATTCGAATTCGGAAATGTGATATGACTCGTGAAGCACACTGACTACCAGAGAGCATGTTGCCATTTTATTGATATGCGTTGTGAGTAAGATGATCCAACTAATTCTCTCACTCTTCCCGATTATCCAACTCGGATGAACCATCCCAGTACTTGCATAAAGAACAAACATTTTCAGTGAATTTTGTATCATACTAGATTTATGGTGAAATAAATTGCAACAGTTCACACTGTTAGAGTAGGATGTAACACTGGTCGCTTAAATCCATTTCAGTAATATAATGCGTGTATTGATTTATAATAAACAATGGTGCACAGTGTAACAAATTGAAGCTAATATCACATTTTCCGAGTACGGTTCGCATGTACATTGAAAAGTTTTGAGGTGATCTGACATCAGCAGTAACTTTGCAAAATAACCATTCAACTTGTACTATCTGAAAGAAATGGGCCTGAGTCAATTAATTATCGAGGTGTACATTGGTTCAAGTTGTCATACTTCATATTAGCAATTTTTGTGGCTGCCTAATAGTTGGCGGCATATTAGTGAATAAAAGAGAATGAGAGGATGTTTCAGTAGTCCATGATATCACGATGATTAAGCATCGAAGTAACAATTGGCATTCGGAATTGTGATATGACTCGTGAAGCACACTGACTACCAGAGAGCATGTTGCCATTTTATTGATATGCGTTGTGAGTAAGATGATCCAACTAATTCTCTCACTCTTCCCGATTATCCATCTCAATGTCTAGTGCTTAACAAACATCTCTATGCACATCAGCCTCATTAAATCATGAGACTTGATTGGAGAGTGGAAAACTCAAACGAATCTGGGTTCTCGATTGGTTGGTTGCTGGTTGGTATTGTTGAGTTTATTGAGGTTGTGTCTCCAATATTTGATTAATTGCAATGTGATCAAACCAAACATATTCAAAAGTGAAGAATATTTGAGCGAACAATTGTTTTCAATAACTTCATCACCAGGCTCTACAGTTATAATAAATAAAAATAATATATTTTTAATATCCCAATGAGTAGAAAATTAGATTTTCTGACGTTTCGTGACTTAATGTAAGCCACTTCTTCAGAGAATAAATAACCAAATTAAAATTAATCTAAGTTTAACTAGTACAACGGAACAATGCAATAATAATATTGGATCAATCCGAAACAGGTCTGAACAAATTGATGTCGTGTCATTTCTGTCAAAGTGATTCATAAGTGATATGTATGTAAATTTGTGTGTATGTATGTGTGCATTGTTTAAGAGTGAAAACTTTTGTGACCTTTATGGTAAGAAAGGATAGAGTTTAAATTTGTAATATGATGGTTAGGATAGATGGTCCAAGTAGGCTAATATGGTAAGGCTTTATTTTCTATTGAGAGAAGTAGGATTAAGCATTATATGGAACGCCTCAGCTACCCTCCTTTCTTTGTTGTTGGAAAAGCCTTTTTGCAATATTTTGACATTTTTAAAATCGATTTGGTGCGTGTTCGTGAACATGTACCTGCTTGGTTGGGAAAAGGAGTTACTAAATCAATTAACAGCACCGTTCATTCGCACTTAGTAGTTAGTGAACATCATATCAAAATAGAGGAAGCTTTCTCTGTTTTATATTAAGTTCCAAAATATCTACTTCAAGGAGCCAGATTACGACTGCATTACATAGCCGAAGCCATCTGGATCAACTCCAGAAGACCTAATTTATGCATCCAGAAATAATATATCCAGCCTCTTCGTTTACCTTGGCCTACGACTGGACCACCGATTACCTAGACTGAATATTATAAACCTCTTACCAACTTCCTTTATTTTCATTTATTTTCCTTATTATCATTATTTGTCATTATCTATATCTTAATCTTCACATCCATCATTCCCAATTCGTTGATCGTAATTACCTTGATAACACCCTCCTTATTACAAATTATATTCACACAACAATCTTATTATTATTATCTCAATTGACGAGATTAATTTCTCCTACTATGCATTTTATTCACACAAAATTTTTTTGCAGTTTCAAATTTGCTATAATACTATTATACTTATTGTGACTGAACACTTTACTCAAATCAACCTGAACGTTGACGATTGATTGATCACTGGGTGGCGATCAATCTCATGCGTGTCTAGTCCTTATTACTGCAGATCGAATGCTATCGATCATGTTGCAATGTGGCCACCAGTCTAGGTGAATCGACACTGCGGGCACTATGTATTGAGATTCAGATGGTAGTTGGAGGTAGTCAACTAGAAACCCTCGACCCGGGTTTCGTGCTACTTGGCACTCGTCAGTAAGGTGTACCTGTAATCTTGAGGGAACTGGTGCTGCCTGACGGATTTGATCCCGTATCACCCAGCTTCACAGTCAGAGACGTTACCACTGAGTTATCGAATCACCTAGACTAATGTCCACATTGCAACTTGGTCGATAGCATTCGATCTGCACGAAGAAGGGCTAGACACACATGACACTGTTCACCACCCAGTGATCAATCAATTGTGAAGATCGTATATGAAAGCAAGTGTATTAAGTTAAATGATATGTTGATAAAATATAACTTGAAATTATTTGGATAGAAATATAAGTTTAGATTGCATTTTTATTGGATCCTATCACATTTCATTTGGCATAGATAATATAGTGATTATTGAAGGTTTAGAATAGATTTTCATTAACAGTGTACACTAAACTCTTGACAATATGATGAAATGATGAGTGTACATTTGTTTATACCTACAAGTCTAATAAAATCAGTTGCAGTTCGAACTACAATAATCACACATTACATACTATAAACTTGATACTGAGTTAGAAGCTGTAGGACGATTAGTAAATATGAGACAAACAATGCAGTCCTATATCTCATTTATTATGCACAACGTTTTCTACTTGTACCGTTTATGAAGTTGAAGTTAACAGATCTCCACATAAAACCTCGTCTACAATCAAACTAAAGTCATGTGAGTACTTAAGTCACTCACCCTAAATCGATGTTGTAGGGAGAAGACCGATAAAGCACTTTCTACTTACTTGAAAGAATACATAAAGTGTGAAGTAGTTTTAATTCACAAATGTGAAAGGACACTAATGATTCAGGATAGGAAATCAGTACCATAGTCAACTGCACCAAATATCCAACGAGAACTCAGATGACTTTGGAGAAGTAGCCTTAATCAGTCAGTAAGCTCGTCGGAATAAACAACAGTAATCGTCATATATAAATATACAAGACGGTAAAAAGTTCATTTAACAAGCTTCTCCAATAAAAAAGAAACACTGTGCTATAACTAAAATCATGTTTAGTAGACAAATCAAGCTTCTAAGTAAAACCTCCATTCAATTTCTTATCTTCTGTTTTCTATCAAATTTTTAAAGGTTGACGATATGTGGGGACTAGGAAAAACTTTGAAATTTGGTGTGTAGGTGATCAAGTATTAGACTCATTATCTAAACACAGACGAAGGTCACAGTAACCATTTGATAGATATGACTGACATGTAAATCTAGTTTGCGTGAAGCAACCACGTTCCGTTGGAAGGAATTATGACATCGAGATCAAGATGAATGAACGAGTACTGATGTGTAGTGAGAGCATGCTCGTTGGTTGAAAGTAATGGCACAGTACTCCAACAACAATCTTTGGAGAATAAAAATAGGCCATATATAATCCATACACATAAAATTCCCAGTTTTTCAATGCTGATAATGTGTATGATGGTGAGTAAGTAAGAAAATAATTAGAAACAACATATCCCCCATTCCTCATATGGTTGTGGGCCCTTGCTCACTAGACTTACATTCTAAGGACGGTCAGCAATTCACTAGCATTAGTTTATGTATAACACGCATGAAGTACATCTCAAGTAAATAGAAATCCAAGCTCTTAAGCCATGATTGTCTAATGGGGAAAACATTAAACGATTCTACTACACAAACAATCATTTATCTTCATAATACACTGCCAATTAACTGGCAGTCACAAAAATATTCCAACGGTGGTCTAACTTCAATCAATCAAACACAACTTCGCATATTACTGAAGGCTAAGCAATTTGTCTACCTTAAGGCGAAATCTCAATTTGCAAATGTACAATTAATTCAAAAATCCATACTATTTTTCATATCAGAAGGAAAATTGCATGCGAAACCATCACAGCAATTCGAATTAAACTCCACTGTACGACCAATATGCATACTGGCAGCATTCACTCACTATACTACTTATATGCGTTTTCAGCGACAACAAATTTCATTCAATATCAAACACATATGAACATGATATCTTTATTCTGTTTATCGATTCTGGTGAAACACATTCAGTTGGTGAGTTTTTTGCAGACATTCCAAATATTGTTTTATGGTGTATGAATAATTGTACATGTGTGCAATGATGACATAATTCGATGACGTATTTAGAGGTCGTGATTTCGAATCGGATTTGTGATTTGTGTGCTTTCATGATTCACCAATGGATGTCGAACTCGTACGCGTCCGCATTCACAAGTAAACGCTTACTTCCTACACAAATGAGCATCGACATATCAGTATACTAAATTAGATTCAATCTATCCTCGATAACCGTTAACGTCCAATCAGTTTGTTTATTTGTATGCGAATATGAGGGATTTGAATAAATCAGACAACTGAACAGGAGTTAACCAGTAGAATTGAATTCATGTGTTTGACCGTTACATACACCATCACAATAATTGTTATAATGTTGTGCAGATTAATTACAGGATGCTTTATAGCTGGATTATCATTGCCGTAATCAAACACTCTTCAACCAAAATAAACACGTTCACTTACTATTTTAAACTACCACAATTAGTGAGGTTGACATAAATTTGCTCTAAGTTGCCAGCAAATTAAATTTGTTGAATGGAAGGAAAGTTATAATGTTTGCAACTACCAACTGGTGTATCATTCAGAAGATCTATCTGAATGATACTAAATTATGGTTAATTGATAATAATGACAGAATATCACCAAGCGAATACCACTATTCATAATCACATAATTATACTAGATGAAGAACTTGAAGTAAAAATTATATACACTTATCACACTAATGATATTTACATTACTTCATTGTTGTCGAATATACTATACAGCATAAAATCCGCCTGCCAAAACTTTTCAATAACGCTTACACTAACATACATTTCACTATGCAGCACGAACAGAACGACATGTTCCACTTTCTTGATGTTGCCATAAAGCGCAGAAGAGACAGGACATTCCAACAGGCAGCTTATAGAAAAGTAATAATTCCACTTCTTGAGTAACTGGTCACCAAAATGTATGCGTGTTTACATTGAATATCGACATCCATTTGGTCAGTACTAATGCATCATAAAACAATGAATCAGCAGGTTATCATTGTGGAAGAACAGGTTGCACATACACAACGAATCTGAGGAGAACCATTACTTCTTTTTAACAAACGACGTCACCATACGTACTGGTGACGTTCAAAAATAGGTTATCAAATATATCTTCGACCTGAGTCGTAATTTGTTAACATTGGCATCAAAGATTTCTGATACCTGGAACTGGATTATTATTTTGCATATCTCTCATATTGAACACTCATTCACTGTCAGTCGATATCAGAATCAAATTTCAAGGCTAATAATTCTGTTCATTTCTGCAACTCATTTTCTGCTTATCGATATTCTAATACTCATAACACGCACTCAATATACTACTTATATATTTGTAAGTCCGCTCTATTTATCCGTAGAATTTCATTCTGCTTAAACGGGTCATCCTTACTGTGACCACATGTCTTCCATAACGTTGGATACTCCAAAAGTGTTCACTGATGTATATTAAGGTTCATTGAATCCTTAACCATACGAAAATGCAAACCCCGTTTATGTATTCAAAACCTGTTTCTATCACCTTGAACCTACCCTAGTTACGTTAGTTTATTATCCAGATGAATGAGTTTCACAATGTTTCTCATTTTATTTTTTTTACTATTCTTGTCTGTCGTTGTCCTCCATTTCTAGTCTAGTTGATCTTCTATTTTCACACATAAATTTTCTTAACCAATATATTATGCATGATCAGATTGTTTGAAATCTATTGCACTAATATACCACATGATTCTGATAGACTTTGTCTTCTTATTACACTATGCAAATGCGGATTCGATCTCGTGTCACCCAGCTTCACAGTCAGAGACGTTTCTACTGAGCAATCCGAGTCACGACCGACGAGATCGAATCAATCAGCGAGCACTACATAATGACTTTAAGTCGGTCTTTCAAAATTTGTGATAGCGGATTTGCTGCGACGAAAAAGTGAATTGAGGGAACATGTAGAAAATGGATATGTAACGAGAATATGTTTCAGTAGTTATGACGAAATACACTTGTACAATCAATATCCAGAAGCTGTGTGTATTGATTATACTTATAATACCAATAATAAGAAGTGATTATGCTTTTCGTTGTATTACACTGTGTAGATATTCCTTATTCCAGTTGGTTGTGACGGATAATTTTGGTCGAGGACGTTCTGTAATGTTCGCTGGGATGCGAAAGGAAATGCATGCAGATGTAACGTGGATGCTTGACAAATTCAAAGAAATCATGGGAACTGAAGAAAATGCGTTTTGTTTACGTGGAATATGAAACGGCGGCTGGTTGTTCATGGTTGACTGCGGACAGCATTATGAAGTGGATGTAATCGTAGAATATTTGTTACGTGTCGATATCCTTGCCACCATATGCTACTTGCATATGTTAAAAGACGAACTATTACAGATAACCTTTATTAATTATGAAATATAAACTGTTTAGCTCATCAACTTCTTAGGCATTGCAGCAGATGGATGTTACATATTACGCAGAACTTTCAAAATAACACAACAATTGCATTACCGAGACGGAGGGATGAGTACATAAGGATTCTACGTCGCCAAAGAATTTACAGATATCACATCGTTTAGAAATATAGTGAACGTTTCGCGATGGAAGTTGAGAAAAAAGTCAACGTTTATTATTTAAGTATTATTAATAACAACTTGTAAACTTGTTTTTATGCTTCAGTATTAATGATGATTCAATAAACTTCTGCATGATTTTTATTTTCCTCTTATTCCTACTTTCATGGCCATGAGTACCAATAATGTTCACGAGTAAATGTCTATGAGAATTAGGAAGACATAAGTGACGCTACTTCCACGTAAGGTTTTACAGATTAGGCACCCACATAACATATTTACCGTCGTTTGATTACGTTTATTATCAATTTAGTATCAGTATCTAACTAGACTATAATTTCATGCGATAAGTTCTGTTTATGAATTGAAATAAAACCAGAAGAAATATTGATGCAGAATAGTATGAATTCATTATATTTCTTGGTTTCTCGTCAGCTGCTTACAACCAAATATGTATTAGAATTAAGGTATGAAACAGTTGACATAACTGAATGTAAAGAATTGGAAATAACGTAGGTTATCAGTATGTATATATGTATATATGCAATAACAGGTCAAAGGTTATTTGTTGTTAGAATCAAGGAAACATTAAGGTTGGGTGGTGTAATAATCGAGTGGAATTCAGAGACAGACAAGTGATGTGCAAATTTTATAAGTAATAAAGGATTCGTGGTTTTGAAAACAGATAAGATGGGTTACGTAATAATTGAATAGAATTTGAACAGTTCACATAAGTGGAGAGGATCAAGTGAGAGGGTGAGTGACAGGGTGGTTTAAGAAATCGGTAACTAAATATGAAAAAATAAAAGAACAAAACGAATAGAGCCCAGTTAATCAAAATAATATTTCTGACCTATAACACACTGTAGGAATGAGAAGACGTAATGATTTAAATAATTGATAGGGAGTTAAATAAACATTTTAATGATGAAATGAAGAAATATTTGTCACCAAGTCAAAATGAAAGGTTACCAACCATCTACTTTAAAACACATAAATCAGATTTATGACGCCTTATAGCAACAGATTCAGAGAACGTAATATTGTCGGACCACAGCTGTTTATTAAACACCCTGATCGTTTGCAAGGTATCGACATGATGTCCTGTTTTCAAGAGATGTTTAGTAATTTCTAAGATATACCCTAATTTATGTTCGACCAATGTAGCTGCCTAGCCCCCTTCGTGATGATAAAGAGAACTATGTGTATGATATAGGAGACTATTCAACAACAACAAACAATATTTGAATGGACAATTGTTTGCAATAACTTTATCATCAGGATCTACAATTATTACTTCATAATTATTTTCACATTTTACAAAGGCCAAAATAAGCCATGGCATTAATGAATTTGACAATGTTACACGTTAATATGAGGACTAGACAACCAGACATTTAAACTGGATTTTCCAAACGAGTGTAACAATATGTTTTCAACTGTTCCTCTGTTAATCTCGACAGGACTCAAAATTGTGTTATGTGTAAATTGAAGAGGTCATTAAATAGAGGAGAGAATGATTTAGTGTAGTCATGTTATGATCAACATGATAGTAATGTAATGAAAAATCCTGTGAGTAAAATGAATAGTAGAAGAATATCGTATGGTAAATGGAGGTAATAAAAATAAAGATAGAATAAATAGCGTTGTATGAATCCAATATGTCCAAATTAATAATGGGAAAAATGGCTGGGTTAAGGGCAAAATTCATCGTTTAAAGTATGTGAATTTAGGATTGTTAAACACAATACAATGTGAGCTTCCAATACATTGAAAATGTGATACTGAATAAGTAATCATAGCTGAAATCACGGACTGATCTCAGCTACATAACTACTGGAAATTATGAAGCATTACATATGTGTTTCATCCTAGTATGGGACTCATCAGCAATGCACAACCGTGATCCCATTGACTATTGAACCTACAACATTCAGACCTCGCGTTACTAGTTTACTTTTCAAACCACAGAGTCTGCATCCAACGGTCTGCATGTCTGACTTTTATGAACTCGCGATATTAAGCAATCATTCAATAACTCTATTGGTTGGCAACTGCTTTACACGCGATTTTATGTCCTGGTAGAGCAGTGGGTTATTATCTAGTTTGGTTATCGGTCGAAAGATTGTTGGTTCAAGTTCACTCAGAAGCAACAACGGTATTTTATCCTGTGAATTCCATATTATACTAAATATATATATATTATTGAATAAATCCATCATTATAATCTTCACTGGTCTGAACTTCTCACTTCAAATTGGTCAATAGTGATCATATTACTGTTAGTAGTATAAAGGTTTTTGTAAAGATACTTAACC